TATGTATGTATGTAACTTTTTTATATTTATTTTATATTTAAAGTAAATTTATTTTTAGATTTTCCATGGTTTTTTTTACATTTTTATTCACTTTATTTGTTATATTTTCCATTTTCATTTAAACCTAAAGCTTTAGTTTTTTTTTTACATTTTTATTCGTTTTATTTCTTTTTTTATTTCATTTGAACGTTGTATTTTTTTACATTTTCATTTTAACTTAGTTACAGCTTTAGCAATTTTGCATTACATTTTTTATTAGTTTTCATTTTTTTAAATATATCTATATAATTAGTTTTATTATTTTTTCATTTTAGTTTTAGTTATTTTAATAAATCAAGATAAAACTAAATGAAACAAAAAACTTAAAAAAAACATTTTTTTTTTTTGTATATTTTTTTTCCCGTTTAGTTGACCTAATTGTCTTGAAAATAATGAAAACAACATCGAAATTCAATGTAAAAAAAATCGTAATGGTACAAAAATAGGCTTCATTTTCAATATCCATTCCTATGCAAAATATTAATAATATAATATAATTTATTCTTATTTTACAATACAAAATTGTTTACAATATGATCCAAAAATGATCTTGACAGCATTTAAGAGCTCCACCCACAATCCAAAGTCTGAATCTAATCAATATTTTTCACAAAAAGTTGCATGACTTTCAATCTGATTTCAAAGTCAATTTATATTGTCTTGGGAGCTACAATAACATCAAACATCATACCGTCTCTCTGCTTTCCAAATATAGCAGCATTATTAATAACTGATGACACAGGCATACGTTTATGGTTGTGTTGTCTTGCCTTGTCATGGTACACATTAAAAGCATTCTGTCCCAGTTGTCTGGGTGATTATCAGCCTCCCTGCACTGGTACTGGTCTCATTCATGGATGGCTGTATGGTTTCTAAGGGTGAGACCACCTGAATGCAGCCAGCAAATCATGTCTCATTGCAGTCCTAATCTGTGCAAACCTGGTGGCTGTATTCAAATGTAGACGCATCTGGCAGGCCGTACCTGCAGGATCTGCTGCTCTAGCTGCGAGTTGGCCTTGCACAGCTCCATGATGTGTCTCAGCAGCAGTTTGGTGCTCTCTGTTTTACCCGCGCCGCTCTCACCACTGCAGGACAAATGGATACAACATATATCAGACTGTTAATGTTGTAGTAAAATAAACGCTGGTGTCATGGGACAAGGCCACAGAAGTGGAACTCAAGTGCGCCAAGATACAAGAGAAACAAAACATGTCCAGGTCATATTTAACACCAGAATCAAAAGAAGACTATATCTGGACTTTATTTTCATGTCAATTAAGAACAGTACAGACATGGATATTTTATCTTTTTGAAAAATTAAATTAATATAAATAGTGCCAAATTTAGTTACATAAATAATTGTCTTGAAAATAATGAAAACAACATCGAAATTCAATGTAAAAAAAATCGTAATGGTACAAAAATAGGCTTCATTTTCAATATCCATTCCTATGCAAAATATTAATAATATAATATAATTTATTCTTATTTTACAATACAAAATTGTTTACAATATGATCCAAAAATGATCTTGACAGCATTTAAGAGCTCCACCCACAATCCAAAGTCTGAATCTAATCAATATTTTTCACAAAAAGTTGCATGACTTTCAATCTGATTTCAAAGTCAATTTATATTGTCTTGGGAGCTACAATAACATCAAACATCATACCGTCTCTCTGCTTTCCAAATATAGCAGCATTATTAATAACTGATGACACAGGCATACGTTTATGGTTGTGTTGTCTTGCCTTGTCATGGTACACATTAAAAGCATTCTGTCCCAGTTGTCTGGGTGATTATCAGCCTCCCTGCACTGGTACTGGTCTCATTCATGGATGGCTGTATGGTTTCTAAGGGTGATCATTGAGCTCTATTGACGGTTTACATGATCAGAGAAAGTCTGTTGCCCAGTGACTGTGAAAGCAAAACCAGCTTTTTGTCTTTTGATGGTCTTTAGCACTGCTCTGTCCGGATCAATGCACAGAATACGTCTGAGAAATTTACACTGAGGCTCCATTTCTGAAAAATACATTAAGGCCGACCTTCCTAATGGTAAAGCAGCAGTGCAGAGTCTCAGAGGAAGGCTGCACATAGGAAAAACCTTAAATATGATACCGCAAAGAGTACAGCTATCAACTATACTATTACGTTATGGAGGAATCCAGGAACTGAAATCCATCTGAAACGTTCACGGTTAGTCTGAAACAGGACGAAACTGAAACTAGACAAGGACAGTTTGTCAGTACAAACTCAGAATGCTTGCCTGACAGTTTGAAAGTCTTAACAGATATATACTTAAACAGACCGATTTTGATTAACTCTTGAATGTAAACCAAATCTGAATAATTGGAAAAGATCAACTCCGGTTGAAGGTCTGTGCCTAAAAATTCAAGGAGTCTCAAATTTGATCTCAGATTAGGGATTAAAACCCCAAATTTATACAACTATGAAAGCTTGCTTTCGCCAAAGGATTAAAACATTTAAAAAATTGTGACTTTTCACAATTTAGACTTTCTCGCAATTCTGAGTTTGTATCTCACAATTCTAACATTTTCTAACAATTCTGAGAAAAACAACAACTCAGAATTGTGATATAAAAGTAAGAATAGTGAGATATAAATTCATAATTGCAAGATATAAACTCAGAACTGAGATATAAAACTCAGGATTAAGTTCTGAGAAGAAAACTCGCAATTGTGAAAAAAATAAATAAAAATCAGAATCATCTCATAATTCTGCGAAGAAAAGTCGTAATTGTGAGACTCAAAACAACTGCGAGAAAAAAAAGTAAATTACCTTTTTTATTTTTTATTCCATGTCAGAAAAAAAAGAACTCAGAATTGTGAGAAAAGAAGTTGGTAATTCTCATTTTATGTCTTGCAACTTTTTTGAGAAATAAACAATATAAGCAAAGAATTTATATACATACATACATATATATATATATAATATGTGTGTGTGTGCATATGACAAGTAATTGCACAATATAAACTCACAATTCTGAGCAGAAAAGTCAAAATTGTGAGATATGAATTCACCACTGCAAAAAATTTGTGATTTTAAAAAACGCAATTATTTTATTTTTTCATCTTTGTTGGCAGAAACAGGCTTCCATAAATAACAGTGTGTCAATAAGGTTTTGCTTGTGTTTTTAAATGAAACAGACACCAGGACTTTTATCTGATGTGTCAAAAATATGAGGGAATGCTGGTCTTGTCTCTACGTGTCTCACTGAACAAAACAAACATGACCGGGCAAGAAATTTCATACTGTACTGACACATGTCTGACCATCTAGAGTTTCTAAAAAACCCCTCACACATGCTCTCCTGGAGAAACCACCGGTTCTGGTGAATTACTTTGATTGTAACACAAACCTGATCACGATACACTGGTTCTTGGGTCCCGTGGCCAGTCGTCCCAGCATGGACTGATAGGCCCGGTCCGCCACAGCAAATATATGAGGGGGCAAAGACTTCTTCTCATGGCACTTATAACGCTCAGATACCTGCACAGGACAAATCAGTTTAATTAACATTACATGTTTTCTGGTCTCAAATCTTCTTAGTAGCCAAAGAAACACATTCTTACCTCTTTTTCATAGATTGAAAGATATTTAAATGGGTTAATAGCCACCAAGATGTCTCCTATATAGGTCTGTAAATATATAAAAACTCACAGTTAGTCATATCTCAGTGATATAAAGCCGTATTTACATACAGTCAGTGAATAACAGCTGTCCCAGAGAACAAGAGCTCGCTGTTTTATCATCTCCAGAAAACACAACTGGTTTAATTCAGGGCTTTACACTGATGTGTGGTATTTTTAGGCCATTTGACACGTTTTAAGCTTACTCACATAGATGAGGTTCTGTGTGAAGCGTCCAGTCAAAACCTCCAGCAAACTTTTCTCGTCCAGCTCGGAGAGATTCGCCAGATCTTCGGGCAATTTTTCCTCCATCGTTCGTCTCTAATGTTGTTCGTGAACTTAAAACCGTCAAATCTTACTGTCTCGCATCACAAAACAACAGCTAGTGTTTATATCCACGCTCCGTCGCGTCCACGCAGCGGTTTCGTCTCTCTCTCTCTCTCTCTCTCTCTCTCTCTCTCTCCGCCCTCAGCTAATAGACACGATCGTTAACCCTTTCATCACAACGTCAGATTTAAAGGGGTCATATGATGTTGCTAAAAATAAAATTATTTTGTGTATTTGGTGTAATGAAATGTGTTTATGCGGTTTAAGGTAAAAAAAACACATTATTTTCCACAAAATGTACATTTTTGTTGCTCCTCTATGCCCTGCCTTTCACTCCACTATTTTTGAAAATAGGCACATTTTCCAACTCCCCTACACTCTAAAAAATGCTGGGTTAAATATGACCCAGTGCTGGGTAAAATAGGGACAAACCCAGCAATTGGGTTGTTTTGACCCAGCGGTTGGAACTATACTCTCATTCCGGCGTAATAATCAAGGAACTTTGCTGCCGTACCATGGGTGCAGCAGGCGCAATGATATTACGCAGCGCCTGAAAATAGACTAATTGGAAGTTACCTAGCTGGGACTAATTTCAGGCGCTGCGTAATATCATTGCGCCTTCCTTTTCATTTTCCGTCGGTCTTAGTACACGATGTAACTACAGAAGAGTCAAGTTTTAAATAGGAAAAATATCTATAAAATACACAAAAAAAATAGTGGAGTGTTCCTTTAAAGTGATAGTTCGCCCAAAATTAAAATTCTGTCACCGTTTAATCACTTATATGTGACCCTGGACCACAAAACCAGTCATAAGGGTCAATTTTTAGGATAGGAACAGGGCCGCTGCTGGCCAAATGGGTGCCCTAAGCAGAATTGTATTGTTGTGCCCCTTCCCCAAATATTATGGAAGTAACAAAAACAAAACACCTACTATAGGGGTCAAAATAGAACTTTAATAAAATATAAAAGTAAATAAATAAATACATTGAAATTAAACTATTATTTACAAAGTACAATTGTAGTTCTATAGCAAAAAAAATATCAAACTAAAATTACACATATTAAATAAAACATTTTAAAAGATTAAATATTATCAAAATAAACAATAATAAATTAAATCAAAAATCAAAAACTGCTTCATCCTCTTTAGTAACAAATTTCAGTATTGACCCTGCATTAAATGAAGCAGAAGACATTAGTCACTGAAGAATTACTGTGTGCACTTCTAAATAAACAGCTATTAGATAATAAAAAAACATGTTAATTTTTGTAAGGGTTGTGATGTCCATATGTTTTTGTTGAAGAAATTATAGAGGCTGTAGCAATTCTATCGCAAAAAGGTGGCCAAAAATGAAAGATTATGTGGATATTTGAATTAAATGTTTGGTCAATATTAAACAAGCATATGATCGTCCTGTAAGTGTAACAACAGCGATTACCAGGCCTTTGGCACCCTTTGCAGGCATTTGTAAATTGTTTATTTATTTTGTATTACATTATGTAACAGTGTTATTCAATGAAACAAATTCAATAAAAAAATGTTCAATTCAAGTTTATTTGTACAGTGCTTTTCACGATACAAATCGTTGCAAAGCAACTTTACAGCAAATTAAGTTTCTACAATATTTAGTGGTAGCTTATCAGTGGTGACTGTCAGTTAATGTACATATGGCAGAAATGTACGGAAAAATCAATTAAAGACGTAATCAAACAGACGATGAACACTATTAACAGCAATTATTATATGATGCAATCAAACTTGTAGCAAAATGTGGTAGTTCTGTATGTTGTTTCAGGGTTGGCATCATCTGAGGTCCTCTGAAACCATATGATTATTATTAATTAACCAATCATTATTGCCTCATTGTTTTTATATAATGCATTTTAAGTCATTTTAAAGGCTGTTAGGTCTGTTTTTATCACCACAAAAAAATATTAGGCTGAATACTTCTTTGTTAATTATTATTTGAAGTAACAAAACCATGAAACCATGTTTTTAAAAAAAAATTTTTTATTCGTAGTAAAACTAATTTTCGTTAATTTTCATAAGGGAACATGGAACATGGAAAATTAGGTACTAAAACTTAAAAAAAAAAAAAATACATTGAAGCTGTATAGAAATATTTTTTCTATAAACAACTATTAAGAATGAAAAAAGTACACATAAATAACAAAATTACAAAAACAAAAAAAATGAAAACTAATGTACAAAAAAAGTTAAAAGCTATAATAGTATATTACTAATATATGGCATAATATATACAACAAAACACTGCTGTAGTTCAATTCAAAACAGTTTTGAGGTGAATCTGTAACCACCATGCATTCAGATGAATGGTAGATCAATGCTGGGGTTTTTCAGTGGGAGAATTTTTAATCTTTGGCATTTTATCCACACGCCACACATCACTATTACATGGCGGATATTATGGAGCAGTTACACTAGTAGTTATGCAGTACCAGTTAATGATTCTTATAAGCTGTGGTGTATTTAATGGAAACAGGTGATCATGGGTTGGGATGACATCATATGCTGCTCACGTGATTGGCACCTCATTGGAGTAAATTAGACACTTCCTTCATGACCTAATCAATGAATGTTTGACGTCACAGGCCTTCACATGTGACCATTAGGAATAAACAGGCTTAAATGATATTTTAAGCAGTGCAATTTATTTAATTGCCTACCACCTGCATACATACATACATACACATATATATATATATATATATATATATATATA